GGAAAAAAAAAAAAAAAAAAAAAAAAAAAAAAAAAAAAAAAAAAAAAAGTTTAAATTTTGACCATTCTAATTAATTTCTTCTCTTCCACTCAATTTTATCATTTTGAACATTAATCCAAAGTTTAAAAAGAAAAAGAAAAAGAAAAAAAGGGAAAGGAAGTTATTATTGTGTTATTGTTCATTATGAATAAAAAGAAAAGTTGGTGCAAATGATTCAATATAACATCAAATTGATATTTTACCTAAGTTCTTATGATTAAATTAATGACTTTAAGTTTTAAATTTTAAGATGATGGAGAACTTTATAACGCTGATTAAGTTCATTATTAAGAGTTAAGAAAATTTGGGTATTTTATAATTATGAAAAAATATCAACTTACATATGAATTTTGCTATTTCTGAAAAGAGACCATTTCTGTACTTTTCAAATTGGGCTATCTTCTTGCTATATGGGCCTATAACAAAGACGAGCCCATTTTTCAAAATGGGCCCAAGTAAATGGACCCATTTCTATACTTTTCAAATTGGGCTATCTTCTTGTCTTTATAGGCCCATGACAAAGCCCATTTGCAATTTCTGAATGGGTCCATTTCTTTACTTTCCAAATTGGGCTCTCTTGCATTATGGGCCCATGGAGCCCCTTTCCAATAAATGGGTACTAATTTTAAAAAACAATCCATAAACCAATTTTAAAAAATAATTCATAAACCAACTCAATTTTGTGAATTGAGTTATTGGGGACTAGGAGGATTGATAGGGCGAACTGTTAGTTCTCTCGAATGCGAGATATCCATCCTAGTTATTATGGATGCATTTGCCCAATACGAGATATCCATCCTAATTATTATGGATGCACTTGCCCAATTGTGACGAAAGGAATTAACGGAAACGGGACTAAGCAATTGTTGTAGGTAAAAATGCATTACAAAATTCTCATTTATTTAAACTCAACTCAAAACAACTCAAAATAAATAAGTTGTTAATCCAAACCAAAAAAAAATCATGTACAAGAAAAGAGATCAAATAGACCCATCAATTTAGTTGGATTCGGTTGGCAAGAGACAATATTACTTTTGAATTAGGCCAAACTCATAAGAGAGGAAAATTTTACTTCAAAAAAATCAAACCACCCATGATTGAAATGTTTCGAGACCAAATACCAAATAAAACTTCAGAAACAAACCCTCAAAATTTTGCTTTAAATTAATCCAACCAAAATTGTCAAACTCACCTCACATCCTCCAAAGAAGAGTAACAATTGTGCAAGAAAAACGAAAGGTTTTTTTTTTTTTTTTTTTTTGTGTGTGTGTGTGCAGAAATTTCATCCACTTCCAAGTTTCTATAAACTACCCATATCAATAAAGAGAAGCCAAAGATGAGCAGAATTACATGAACAAGTTAGGCCTAGATGCCTTGTATGTCGTCTTGAGCTTCCTGGTGGGTGGCCTCACCTTCTTAAACACCAAGGGGAATTTGATCTTTGAGTCATGGAACTGCTTGGTACTCTCCCTCTTGCAGAGCTTTGCAGGAACAGTGGCTGTCTTAATGATTTGGATGCACGGGCTCCTAACCCTATGACGCGAAGCCATCTCGGTATACATCTGCTCGACAGCACCGTTCAATGTCGTGTCCCGATACTCCTTGTACATGTTGTGGTAACCAGTTCGGCTCTGATACCGCAGCCAAATGCCATAGTTATTGATCTTGGTTGGGTTCTTTTCGAAGATCTACAAATTGCAATATGAACGCGAGAAGATTATTGATTGTATTATGATTTAGAACATGGAGCAACGAAAGAAGGAAATAAACGAGTAATAATACCTCATTAATGGCAAGAATTTGACCATTGCTCTTCTTAACTTTCTTCAACTTCCTCAAAAAGTACCTATCCAGATGCGAGGATCAAAAGAATATGGATCAAGCTACACAGATTCCTTCAAAATCTCCTCGTGAATTTGTAGAAAGAATCACGTCGAAAACAACAAATCCACTAGAATCAAGATCAGCATAACGATTCAAACTCTCGTTCTTCCGCTACATTTTCTCCCGAACAACTAAGCAAAACGATAGATAAACATTGACGGATTGAAGAACATACCAGAACTTAGATTTGGCGCGGACCTCGTTGGTAGCCCAAAGCTTCATTCGATAGATCTTCGGATGCTCATCCGCTTCAGAAGGAAGAGCCCTCCCCACAACCTGATACTGATGAAACTGCAAAAGAGATAAAATAATGAAAAAAAAAAACAGATCAAAGTCTAGCAAATTCACTTCCAATTGGGAGAAGTGAATCCAATGAACAACTAGAACGCATTCTTATCAGAGAAGAAAATGTTACAAAAAAAAAAAATTAAGGAAATTAAATTCGAATCGAGAAGATTTTTGTGTTCATATTCTTACTCTGAATGTGACCATCTTGAACTCGAGGATCTGAGAGAGATCGGCACCGGTGCTTCGATTTGATCCTCTCGACGGCCGATACCCAAAATGCTGCAAAGCTTTAGACTCGTGTTGAGAGAACGAAGTAAAACCCTAAACTGCTACTCCACAACTGGGCCGAACAAGTGTCTAACCGGCTCGGCCCATTTGAAATGTCTGAATTATTCATTTGTGTCATGTTCAAATGTATACGAATTTCAATTTAATTTCAATTTAATTTACTGGTATAAACTTATAGTTAAGGCTTACTTTCAATTTCATCTTCCAATATATATGAATTTCAATTTAATTTCAAACAAAGTCAGATTTAACATATAAATTTGATATAAAAAAAAGTTCTCAAATAAATTAATTAACGCAAGACATTTTTATTTGATAAGAAAGCACATGTTAAATCATGTTAATGTCGAGCTGAGATAAAATAGTTTGCA